AAACGGCAGAGAGATGCCAATTACGATGACACTATATACATTGCTCTGGATCCACTGTTTGTGTCTGTCAAATAAACTTGATTGGATTGGGCCGAGCAGCTATATATTTAGGCGGCCACTCTTAACTATTCTATTCTCAAACCACTTGCCACTTACTTGTGTCCCATGAACGAACGGGCGAATTAACATAGGGATCGCAGCCGACAAATGCGTGCAATGATTTGACTGGTCAAATGCATGACATTTCGACACGTGTCCTGATTGTGACGCGGCACTATCATGACGGCCGTGTACCCATGCGGTGGCGGTTAAAAATGTGCCGACATATGGCCGAAAGATACGCATGTCAGAGAGAGGGAGAGTATTTGCAATGGAGTCGCTGCAACTTTTAACATGCGAGTTCACCCGGAAAAAAAAACTTTTAACATGCGAGTGATATTCAGCGGCTCAGCGCAGGCAACCAGGCAGTGAAGCCATGTGCACGCAGGTGATCGCTCGATTCCAAACTAAAATAAAACTACCGTACACATTTGGCAACAGGGCATGGACCAAAGCTCTTTTCTGTTGTGTGAATTGACATTTGACCTAGCTAAGATAGGGTCCGCGAGTGAGTGCCAATTAAGGTTCAAACTCTCACTTGGATCAGTCCTAATGATTAAGGCACGGAATAATCAGGTCTGGTCAGAAGAGGGACAAAGTGACCAAATTGTCTACTTGTCCACTCTGCAAGTTTGGATAACATGTGCACACCCACCATCGTCTATGCACGGTGTAGATTCTACCCAAGGATTCAGTGACGGGATCTAATAATCTAAATACACCGGGAGTCATAGAACTTGCACGGGACATTCAGTTTGGTGCATAAATTCGTAAAATACGTGTTTTTGATCATCTAACTTGTCCTCTCGTTCATATACGGTGCTTTCTATCGTATCCGGCTGTATCTCAGGCACATGTGGCGTGCCAACATTGTGGGGGCTCATTTTCATTGTTTTTTTAATCCTTGCATTTTATTTATTTATGCAGAAAATTCTCATAAAATTAAAACCAAACTTTTCTGATCCCTTGCATTTTATCTACGCGAACAATTCTCAAATGAAATTGAAAAGGCGGGTACACTACTCGACAAACCTGATGTTTGGTGATTAGTACGCACAGTTAGCTCCATATTATATGGATAGTACAAAGAAAGTAGAAATTTAAACAGGAAAAGCTGTGCAAAAAAGGGATAGCCCCGGTTCAAACCTATGACCTCCTGGCTAGCTCGCCGCATGTGCAATTATAGAGATATACACAATTTATCTTTTGTATTTTTTTCTTTTTTCTATGTAAGAAAATAACTTATATTCTAGATAAACTTTTCGGACAAATCATTCAACTTTTCCCCGCAAAAAAATCATTAAAATTTTGTTTGAATTCATATAATATTAAATTTGAAAAATCTAGATATAAGAAATATAGTGCAGATTGATTGTATATGATTTTTTTAGACAAATAAACTACTTTTTTGTTTAAATTCGAATAATTTTTAACTTAAACAATCTAGTGCAGAATGAATGCACGTATTTTTGGACAAATAGACGGAAATTGTTTTTGAATTCAAATAAATTTAATTTTTTTGAAATGCGTGGACATTTTTAAAATGCAACATACTTGTTTTAATTACACAAATAATTTTTAATTTTTAATTTTTTTTAAATATCACATACTTTTTTTACAACGTAGAACATTTTTGAAACGTCACAAACAACAAAATATAAGTTGTTTTCTTACATCATTTTATTCCTGCGGGAATTACACGAACATGTTTTTAGTTTTCGTTTATTCTTTTGTTGGGCTGAGCGAACATAGTATTAAAGAAAATTTTGTTTGTGAGTTTGATGTCAATTTATTCTTGGTCGAGTGGCTAGTGTAGTTATCTCTTAGTTTGGAGGACGTCGATTCTAGTCCCCTGGCGCTATTTTATTCGTCTTTCTTGAAAGAAACTGTGTGCCTTGATGTGCGTAATTAAATAAAAATCAAGGATGCTTTTTGCAAAAGAAAGATAATGCATGGCTGACCCAACACCTCACCACTCACAGCCCCCGACATGTGGGCCATATTCATGCTGACACGGCACGTGAGCACAAGATACGGCTGGACACGAAAGAAGTGACCGTATCTGCACGCATAGGCATGTTATGTGACCGTAATGACGTATTTTACAACTTTTAGCACCAAACTGAACATCATATGCAAGTTATATGACTGCCATTGATATTACCTCTTCTTTATACGCAGAACGACCGTAACCATTTAGTCGCTAAGACCAAACATATTTAATTTGTAATTTTTATGTGGATGAGCACAATTTAATTTTTCATCGCCACGTATAACTTGCTGAGTTCAACCATCAATCAATGTTTTGGTGTTGAGATATGTTACCTGCTTTTCTAAGCCAACTTATGGCCAGTTCTTTTGGGCCTCTTAAAAAATAAGCCGCCTCTCCCTAGCTTTTCCCATAAGCCGCCTCTTATATTCGTTGAGGCTTTTAAATTAGTTATGGGATAACTAATTTAAAAGTCTCAGAAAAATTAAAGGCGGCTTATTTTTTAAAACTGAGGAGAGGTAACTTATTTTGTAAGCCACCCAAAGAATTGTCCTTTAATCTTCTAGGTACCTCGTGAAAAAAAAACTTAATCTTCTAGGAGAACCATTTGGCGTATGCCGACCTGGGAAACACTAAACGGGTCAAACCGAGCACCATGGCACGTTCGTCCGCCATAATAGCTCACAACATCCCAAACCCAACTTATATCGAGCGGGGCAACACTAAACCGGATAGAGTACCAGGACGACGGGCAGTAGAGACCAAGAACCAACCTCCTATGACAGGGATCTCCTCGAAGAGAAGTGCATATTTCAAACCTTAACTTTTGCCTTAGTCTAATTTACAATCCTAAACTCCAATACCGTCTACATTACAACTGCTAACTCTTAAAACCGGCTAGATTCAACCGTCCCCTCCCATTGACCAATTTAGACCCGTTGATCATCCAGCCTGCATGTCTAGTCAGCAAACCACGTCAGCAAAAAAAATTCAAATTTTCCAGAAAAAGTATAAAAAAACTAAAAATCAAGGAAAACATAAAATATCTATTAAATAAAATATCTGTATAATATAAAAAACATTGAAAATTTGGAAATTAAAAAAATGGTGTTGTTGTCTGAAAATCCTGAAAAATCTGTAAAATCAAAAAGAAAAAAAGGTTCAGTGATCTTTTCTAAAAATTCTGAAAAAATGTTCAAACTTCTAAAACACAAAATTTTGAAATTCTTTAAATCAAAGAAAATTCAAAATCTTTTCCAGATGATTAGTATTGTTTTCTTGATCTTACAAAATCCGGGCAAAAAATCCTTACAAAAATTGTTTTTCATTTTAATTTTGTGATTGATTATTTATTTATTTTTTATTTTTTAGAAAATATTAAATATTTTACATTTTTATTTCCCTAGACTTTTCATTTTATAGATTTTTTTTTGAAAATTTTGAACTTTTTGTTGATGTGGCTTGCTGATGGGATGGTTAACGGGTCAAAACCGGTCAATGGGGAGGGGAGGGTTGAAGCATGTCCAATTTTAAGAGTTCGAGGTTGTAATGTAGACGGTATTTAAGTTGAGTGTTAAAATATGCACTTCTCTCATCTCCTCATCACCCACTGAAAACTGCCGATCATACACCACCCTAGCAACAACACATGAGAGATGCCTAGATAACCCGACCCATCACAAACCAACAACCGAGTAAGCCCATGGCGACCAATCGCAGGAAAAATGCACACATAGGGGCAACGAAAAATGCACTACATAAATGTGGACCCGGAAGCCCACAGTCCACAGGTCATGGACCTTCGAACTGAAGCTACCGAGGAGGTGAGGCAAGGTAAAAACCGACCGAAAAGGAATAAAGGCGTCAAGCAGGCAATGACATGGGGCGCAGACGGATAGGACGACATGGAGGATGCACGAGGACGCGGATGCCCCAAGAAGGCGGATAGTTCAATATCCTTTAAATGAGTAATGAATCAAGGCATGTTTTTGTGGCTCTGTTTCAAACGAAAAAATAACACTAATGAGGATAGCCATAGACAATCTCTCTTCGCTTACAATGGTTCGCAAATGTGGGGACTAGCATGTGAGATGCAAATTCCCTGCCGTTCCCATGGAAGAGGATTTATAGCACGCAGATGCGGGGCACGCATCCCTCTCTTACTTTTGGCTTTGGATTTTTCAATCTTTCATATCTTTTGAACCAAAAGTCAAAATTAAATTTAGTTTACATATTCGTGTTTCTGGTGATAAGGGCTTTCAAACGAGACCCATTTTGATTACGTTTTGATGAGTTTTTTAAAATTCCCTTAAGTTTCAACTTTTGGAACTTGGTATGAGCGACCAACAAAATAATGAGTTTCAAATCATGCGTGTGACAAAATATTTCAACTTCTGAAACTCGGTACGAGCGACCGATAAAATCGTATGTTTTAGAACCTATGACCGACAAAAACGTAAGTTCTAGAAATTGAAACTTAAAAAGTGCTCCTAATATAAAATCCTAATTGAACCACGAACAATTTTATGTTGTGGGATGCAAACCGTTTTCTGAACCAGAATAACATGTTCACTTTTTCTGAACCCGAATCTCGTCGACATTTTCATTTTTCGCTCTTTCACGAATTTGAACACACTAGTCAACAAACATCATAGATCTCCAAAAACCGAAAAAATTGCAACGAAGAGGACTAGCCTTACACATTGGTTGCCGCGGTACATACATTCCTGCAGCGCAGTGCTATGGAAGTGACTGGAGCAGCAAACTAATGGAAGCTGTTTGGCCGTGACACACTGTGTTATCTACAATCTTTCTTAGTCTACCAAACCAAGGATGGCCATGGGAATTAAGGCACATCTCTTAGTTAACCTCTGTCTCCGTCTCTCGAAGCAGAGAAGAGATCAAACCGACGCTAGTCCCGCCAGCACACGAGCATGGTGACGCACCGGCGCATGATGTAGAACCTGGCCCTCTGCTGCTTGGCCAGGCTCGCCAGCCGCCCCGGCACGGACCGGCCCGAGCCCCTCGAAGCCCGGCCCTTCTTGACGCCCACCGGACTGCCGGTGGCCGCCGCCGGCGCCACCGCGGCCGACCTCCGGCTGCCCTTCTTGGACAGCTTCCACTTGTCGTCCATGCACATCTCCATCTCTTCTCTGTTTCTTCCGATCTCCCAATATGCAATGTGCTCTCTTCTCTCTGTTTTGGCTTCTGGTCGTTGAGGATGGTTGTTGGCGTGAGAGCCGGGTAACTTGGGTGCTACTTATAGTGGCCGAATGCCAATCCAAGGTGGATGAGGGGGTTGGATTTGATTGGAGAGGAGAGGAGATAGAGGTTGATTAAGTAAGTAGCTTAACTAAGACTATTGTTTGTGTGTCTGTTTGGTAGCGCATCTCTTTCAAAATAATTTATGGGACCGTGTCCCCTGGGGGTGATGGCCATCTCTTTCGGCGCCCACGCTCAAGTAGTTGCGGTGCAATTTTCTTAGGACCTTTGATTTGAACCGGAGCGTGCTGAACCTACAAAACTGTACTAGCATAAACTGAGCTGGGCAGGGTCCATCCATGATGATAAAAACTGGAGTACTAGCTACGGCTCTGTTTGTTGGGAACATGTAGCAGTAAACTTTGTAGGCGCGTCAGAGACGTTCGTGGGAGTTAACGGATCCACGTAGCATGCGACTGTATCATCTTGAATCGCCGAGCACGACCGGCCACCAGATCGAGTCAAACTCGCTCTCTCTCCAACACACGCCACGGAGCACGACAAGTCACCGTCCGTGTGATGGATCACGACGCGACGTAGTTAATCAACTAACGAGGAACACACTGCTATCTGTTGGAGCAGCAGCGAGTAAAGGCTCGAGCCCTCATGGGCACACAAAGCCCACATGGCTCCTAGCGACCGCGCACTAGCTAGCTAATGGACACTGACAACGCGCGCGAGTCGAGAAAAGGCGTGCACAAACTCAGGTTTGATAGGTATCCAGCACTTAGCCAACCTCATCCATCGTTCAAAGCAAGACACTAATAGCATCTATAACCACGATTACCAAATCCGGCCCTATACGTTTGCAAAGACAGTGACCGGTGAGACCTTAAATTCTCACCCACACAGCCATGTATCTCATATCCAACACCCTATATCCATACTTCATATACAACATGATCTAATCTACGTAGATCAAACCGACATAGAAATCGGCAGTAAGAGCAACTCCAACGGGCCGACCCAAACGGACGGCGTCTTTGTCCGCTTTTTATCCGTTTGGGTCGGCCGCCGGCCCGCCGTCCGCCCTCTTTTAGTTTTGGGTCGGCAGTGCGCCCAACGGGCCGACCCATTTTCATGACCGCGCGTGTTTAATATCGTGCCGTCGCCCTGGTTTTGGCGCTCCAGCGCACGGAAAAGGTTCGCGCGCGGAGGAAAGCGGCCTAGCGCGCGCTGGTTTTGTCGCTCCAGCGCGCGGGAAAGGTTCGCGCGCGCGTCGCGGCCGGCGCTCGCTATAAAGAATGCACTCCCTCCATACTCTGTCGGCCGCCCACTCTCCCCGCCTCTGCGCCACCATGTCGATCCGCCGCCCTTCGGATTTTCGCGGAGTCCACGAGCGCCGCTCCAGTGCCTTCTCCGCCGAGATCTGATTTCGCGAGAAACGTCTCGTCCTCGGCACCTTCAACACCGCAGAGGAGGCGGCCCGCGCACACGACGCGGCGGCGTGGCGCCTCCTGAGGCCTCGTCAGGATATGAATTTTCCCAACGTGTCGAGCCAGGGGGCGCAGGATCTGACGCCTCTCCCGCGGCTTTTCACCGACGAGGATCGTCGTGTCCACCGGAGGCGGCAGCGTCGCCTCGCCATCGCAGAGAAGGACGTGGAAGCCTTGGTGGTGTGGCGCGGAGGCTACCCGTAGGACATCATCGACGAGCGCTAGTTCTACAAGCAATTAAGATCGGAGAGGGACGCGAGGAGGAGGGAGCGAGCCGCCTATCGGGAGGACAAGCGTTCGCGGAAGCAGGCAGCTCAATTGAAACTGAAGCTACGAGAAACTTCGGGTTGGGACTTTGAAGACGAGCAGCTTGCTGACGCCTACCTTCAAACGTCGGAGGAGGACATTACCGAGTCGGAGTCAGAAAGCGACGAGTAGTGGTCTTTTTCTTTTATCTTGTGTACGCTAGAACTATCTATGTATCCATTTTAATCTGAAAAAATGGCCGGCGGCGTCGGCGACGTAGCAGGCGGGCGAGTGTGTGAATCCAATGTGCCACCGACCAGCAGGCCCGGTGAGGAAAGAGGGCGAGCGCGCGCGCGTCCGTCTTGTGTCCGCGCCGACGCAAATCAGGCTAAAAAATGGGCCGGGAATGGGCCGGCAGGCGGACAAAAGCGGACGCGCGTCCGTTTGGGTCGACGCGTTGGGCCGGCTTTTTTGTCTGCGTCAACCCAAACGGACGGTCGCGGACGAAATGGGTCGCCCCATTGAAGTTGCTCTAAACGAACACCAAAAATGGGAAGCAAATGGACACCCAAATCTACTTTACATCGTCCAAAAGATCACCACAGTTCTTCACCGGACTGGTTCTAAACTAAAACAATTAAAAAAGATAATAGTAAACAGAGGAGGAGGGTCTTCACCACTTCCTCACCAGCTCTTTGCCCTTCCAGTCGCTGGCGCAGTTGAAGGCGTCCGCGACAGGTGGTGGATCTCGGATTCTTTGGAGTCAGAGCCGTGGTGGTCTTCATCGTCCCAGGAGGAATCAACGATGACGATGAGCCCCTTCATCCGCCGAACGTCCTGGTCCTGCTGCTGCTTGAGCTTGGCCACCCAAGCCACTGCGTCCACCGCCTCGCGCTCCAACTGCTCAATGGCTACCCGGAGCGCCTTGGCATTCTTCCCCCGGAGCCGGCGGACGTCCATCTCCGCCGTCGTAAGCGAACGGTGGTAGACCCAAGCGATGAGCCTCTCCTCCTCATCGGGCACCGCCGGCAACCCACGACAACGGAAGAAGAATTACTCTGCCGCATCCCACTCCCTTGTCCGCTGCCTTTCATGGTGGACGGTGCACCCCTCCGATTCTAACTTGCGCATCCGCGGGGCCGGTGGAGCGGACACTAAAGGCCAGTGGGGGAGGTGGATGACAAAGGGGCGGTACAAACTGCGCAACCCTCGTGGAGCTGCCCGTGGGCCTGGAGGGGCTAGCTCTGGTGTCCGCGCTACGCCGGCGGGGGATCGGCGACAAGGTAGATTTAGAACTGCCCCTCCCTCCTCCCATGTCCACCTTCGACCACTCCAGTGCAATGCGGAGGGTCAGGTCCTCGTAGACATCAAGGTCGGAGTCGGAGTAGCTACCGGTGCTCGACATGCTCACTGAAGTCGTCAGATTGGATCGAATGAGGGGAGAAATTGGAGGAGGGGAGAAGAAGAGATGGAACAAGAGCGAAGTGAGCTAGGGTTTCAGATTGGGAATTTTATGGGGATGGAGTGTGGTCAGGGCTGGGCTGACATGGCGGACGGGCCTGGGCCACCCCATATCTGAAGGAAATATGCCCTAGCGGCAATAATAAAATTGTTATTTATATTTCCTTATATCATGATAAATGTTTATTATTCATACTAGAATTGTATGAACCGGAAACTTAGTACATGTCTGAATACATAGACAAACAGAGTGTCCCTAGTATGCCTCTACTTGACTAGCTCGTTAATCAAAGATGGTTAAGTTTCCTAGCCATGGACATGTGTTGTCATTTGATGAACGGGATCACATCATTAGAGAATGATGTGATGGACAAGACCCATCTGTTAGCTTAGCATAATGATCGTTTAGTTTGTTGTTATTGCTTTCTCCATAACTTATACATGTTCCTATGACTATGAGATCATGCAACTCCCGAATATCGGAGGAACACCTTGTGTGCTATCAAACGTCACAACGTAACTAGGTGATTATAAAGATGCTCTGCAGGTGTCTCCGATGGTGTTTGTTGAGTTGGCATAGATCAAGATTAGGATTTGTCACTCCCTGTATCGGAGAGGTATCTTTGGGCCCTCTCGGTAATGCACATCACTATAAGCCTTGCAAGCAATGTGACTAATGAGTTAGTTACGGGATGTTGCATTACGGAACGAGTAAAGAGACTTGCCGGTAATGAGATTGAACTAGGTATTGAGATATCGACGATCGAATCTGGGGCAAATAACATACCGATGACAAAGGGAACAACATATATCGTTATGCGGTTTGACCGATAAAGATCTTCGTAGAATATGTAGGAACCAATATGGGCATCCAGGTTCCGCTATTGGTTATTGACTGGAGATGATTCTCGGTCATGTCTACATAGTTCTCGAACCCATAGGGTCCGCACGCTTAACGTTTTGTGACGATTTGTATTATGAGTTATGTGATCTGATGACCAAAGTTTGTTCGGAGTCCCTGATGAGACCGGGGACATGACGAGGAGTCTCGAAATGGTCGATACGTAAAGATCGATATATTGGAAGGCTATATTCGGACATAAAAAAGGTTCCGAGTGATTTGGGTATTTTTTGGAGTACCAGAGAGTTACGGGAATTCGTATTGGGCCTTAATGGGCCATACGGGAAAGGAGAGAAAGGCCTCAAGGGTGGCCGCGCCCCTTCCCCATGGACTGGTCCGAATTCGACTAGGGAAAGGGGGCGCCCCCTTCCTTCCTTCTCCTTCTCCTTCTCCCTTTCCTTTTTCCTATTCCATGTGGGAGGTGGAATCCTACTAGGAGTAGGAGTCCTAGTAGGACTCCACACTTTGGGCGCGACCTATGAGGGCCGGCCTCCTCCTCCCTCCATCCTTTATGTACATGTCCAGGGGGCACCCCATAGACACACAAGTTGATTATTGATTTCTTAGCCGTGTGCGGTGCCCGCCTCCACCATAATCCACCTCGGTCATATCGTAGTGGTGCTTAGGGGAAGCCATGTTCCGGTAGCTTCATCATCACCGTCATCATGCCGTCGTGCTGACGAAGCTCTCCCTCGACACTTTGCTAGATCGTGAGTTCGTGGGACGTCACTGAGCCGAACGTGTGCAGATCGCGAAGGTGCCGTACTTTCAATACTAGGATCGGTCGATCGTGAAGACGTACGACTACATCAATCGCGTTGTCAGAACGCTTCCGCTTAC